AAAACGCAGTGGTAAAAAAAATCTTTAATCATTCTGTTTTTTTTTTTTTTTTTTTCAGATATGTTTTATTCATATTTGACTTTTTATATGCACAAATGCGCGTGCACACACACACACACACACACTCACTGGCTCGTGTGTGCATGTATGTGTGTGTATGTGTTTGTGTACAACCGGAAACAAAATTAATATGAGACAAAGGAGAAACGCTGCTAACGGCGCGTTTCGACGAGAACGCCTGCTGTTTTCGTCTTCTTCGGTTTTGAATGAAATACAAAAATTTGTGTAAGATAAATCCGTTGTACCTCCTGACGATATCAGATCCGACGACCAAAAATGAGAAAGTTTGTCTGCTTGTTTTTTATATATATATATATATATATATATATATATATATATATATATATATATATATATACTTTATTCGAAAATTATAACATAAATATATTAGAAAATCACTACAAATAAAGCTATTTTGTTTCAACACTTCTTGTGTCTTATCAAGTGATGGTATTGAATGTAGAATAAAGGGTTTTAAAAGATTCAAATCAATCCAACACCCCTTGCTAGGGGAAACACTGTTACATAAGCTGCAATGACCAATCAAAATACATTTATTTCATATAAATGTATTCAAAAAAATTGACAACGAACCTTGATTATAATAATTAATGCTTTAATATTAGGGTTAGACTAAAATCGAAATCATTCTAAGTAATTAATATTAAATTATATTTTAATATTCAAAATTAAAAATTACCAATTTTAAATTTAATCTGTATTAAGTTTAAATAATTATAAAACTGAAGAAAAATACATGTTTTATTATTTTTTATTTTATTGAAAGGCCAAAGATTCAGTTAGAATTAATTAATGTTTTAATGATAGGGTTAGACTAAATAAGAAATCATTCTAACTAATAAATATTTAATTTTAGTATAATATTCAAAATTAAAAATTACCAATTTTAAATTTTAAATTTCATCTGTATTGAGTTTAAAAAATTATAAAATTATTTAAAGAATCTATGGAAAAAATACGTATGTTTTGTTATTTATTTTGTTTTTATTGAAATGCCAAAGATTCAATTAGAATAAACGTCAAAATCTAATGTTGCTCTGAGCTTCGTTACAACTTAGATACATTTGAAGTGATGATATGGGCAGGGGAGGGTGAAATCTTGCAAAAGACAATATATACACAATCAGATTATAATACACAGACACGTAGAAATATTTAGATATATAAACACGCAAAAAGCGACGAAACAGAAAAAAAAAGGTGTCCACGGCCCTAAAAAAAAACCCCGACAACATACATACTATGAAAGGCACATATAAGCGATTATACACGCATACACTGATAAAGACATGTACATATACACACCAAGAAATATTCAAATTTGAAAGAGTTAGTAAACGAATTCTAATATACTATTAAAATATAGGTTATACGGGCAAAGATATATAGATAAAAATGGTTCCATAGATAAAATTTAATATGGGTAGAATAGAAAAAACAAATATTCGTCAATGAACAACGTAAAGAAAACAAGACACTAAGATATATAGAAAAGGATAGTAAAATAAATATATACGCATACACACACATAATGAAAAAAAAAAAAACAAATTCAAATGTCCAGGCAAAATGTAACACTTAAAAATAACGCTATCTAATATATAAAAAAGAAAGCATAAACACACAAATATATATACATATCTCATGTCATTCGCAGACAGTACTGTTTCGCTGTATTACAGCTCCTCAGTACGACGAGACAACCAAATGCCCGGATCGAAACACAGAGTTTCTACCACTGAGCCATCTTCACTCGACAGAACGAATCAGCCAAATCTAGCGTAATGTTTATACAAACGTAAACAAACGGCAAGCAGCCATAGTGCTCAATTCATTTTACTGAAGAGCTTCGCATTTTCGCAGTTGACCGTTGTTTTAAGAATTAGCTTGTCGTTCAACAGTGCTCAATTGAAAATATATTTTCAAGAGCTATACGCATAAGTACACATAGACGAGTACAAATATGTAACAATTCGAAAATACATACATACGTATAAGTACACATATTTATCACTGCAAATCGAAATATACAAAATATACATACGCACATATATATACATACATATACACACATATATATATCCCTATATACACACATATACATACATACACACATACATACACATATGCGCATATGCATATATGCCCACTCATAGAAATAAATATAAATATATCAAACTATACAGTAACATAAAAAATTAAATATTTACACACATATATACTCATATACGCATATATATATATATATATATACATACATATATAAATATATACATAAACATTTATATATATATATATATATATATATATATATATATATATAGAGAGAGAGAGAGAGAGAGAGAGATACATAAAACTACACATTATATTTGCTCTACTCTGTATTGAGCATACTTTTAAGTATAGTATTATTCGGTTATTGGAATTTATTATTTATTCCGTATACACCAATCCTATGCTTGTCTGTATATATATATATATATATATATATATATATATATAGGCAGTGTAATGGTTAGAAAGCTTATCTCGCTAGAACAATTACGATTGAGTTCGATCCTCACTGGGTGCTCCATACTTTCGGCCTTGTGCCGCATCTAAGCTACGCTTGGAAAATCCCTGGGGCACCTCGACGTGGTGTAATGGTTAGAAAGCTTGTCTTGCTAGATCAATTACGACTGAGTAGTGAGTTCGATCCTCACTGGGTGCCACATCTAAGCCAGCCATAGAAAATCACTATATATATATATATATATATATATATAGTCGACTCTCCTGTCGAATTCAACGTATGAGGGTCAAGGAGATCAGTTCCCCCAAAACAGACAGCCAGACAACAGCACATCAGATTTAATTATAGTGGTGAGGATTTTGTGCAGGACCATCCACGCTTTTTGAAGGGCCGAATAAAGAGCAAGGTCCCCCGCAGCTTTTGAATTCAGAGTTGTTCTTCTCCTACACCAGTTGCCATCCAAGGGTATAAAACCCTGTCTGTCTTGCTATTTACCCATAATTGGAGGGAAGATTCACACTTTTCCCAAAGGTATTAGGACGTAAGTGAATGTAATGGATTCGACCGGAATTCGAACTCGGCTCTCCGATTCCTCAATCCAAGCCGCTATCCATTACTCCATACCGGGTGTAACAGCAAAATTGCCCAGTTGTTAGATTAAGCTTTGAACCATTATATCTTAGAAATGATTAAAGATATCTTATTGGAATTCTCCGTGGTTTTTATAACACGACTGAACTCTACACGCTTAACAGAAGTGATGAAATTGATCATAAACAAAAATGACATGTTCATCATTAATTAATCCTAGCTAATGATCGGAAGCTCATGAAGGATTGAAATAAAGGTCATATATATATATATATATATATATATATATATATATTATTCCAAGTTCATTTTCAAACTCATTCAAGATGTCCTTCGCCACCTCTAACCTTCTACTTTCTGTCCTGTAGTAACAAGTTGGCTCACTGGTTTCTCGTACGATTTAATTTCCAAGTCTTTTTTCATTGCTCTTTGGACTGTAATAGCTAAAACTCCTCTCTCAGGTTCTAAACCTCTTATGGATTGAGTTGGATCTTTTCTAATTACTCTCTTTAGATCAAAGTTGAAATGATGATCCCTCTTGCTGATCCAGGTTTCCTCTCTACTGTTCCACTTTTTTAAATCATATTCACCGTTCCCGTAATAGTTCTTGAACGGATTTTGAAGATGTAAATGATCTGTTCCCTCACAGCATTGCTCAGTTAAGAAGACAGTACGGTAGAGACAAAACAATTTTTAAATGTTCTCTCTCGAGGTGAATAACTCGAAGGGATTTTCAGGGATTCTTAAGACAAATGGTGTCAAGATCGTTAAACGTCTTATCTGAATACCTGGAATAAGAAAACCAAAGAGTTTACTGTCTTTCATGTTGTTATTGTTTTTTATGCTTTTATATAACTTGGACAATTTTGCTGTTACATCTAGTATATATATATATATATATATATATATATATATATATATATATATATATATATATATATATATATATATATATATATATATATATATGATGTTGTTTAAGCGTTATGCGTTTTGTTTATTTATTAGACAACATATTTGTTGTTTCGCGTCTACCTTTCCGTAGCTTCGATGTTCTGGGCATATCCGAATTTTTTCTTAAGACGATAGACGAAAATAAATAAATATACTGTCTAATAAATAAACGTAGCGTCTAAAAGTAACGCTTAAAATGATAAAAATCTCTCGATACATACATACATACATACATATATATATATATATATATATATATATATATATATATATATATATATATGATGAAGTGTAATCTTAATGTATGCTGTATTCTTAGGTTAAAATAAACATAGAAACAACACCCCGAAGGACAATCTGTTTTATGCTAAATGCAACGTTCAGACAGTGTATATATATATATATATATATATATATATATATATATATATATATATATATATATATATATATATATATAATATAATATGAATGAATGATTCTCATTTGGATGCGGACTGCTGAGGAGTTCCAAAAAGGACGAAACGCCCGGCCGGTGTATTATGTTGAGGATTCTTCCAGATTCGATGAATTATTTATATATATATATATATATATATATATATATATATATATATATATATATATATATATATATATTTTAACGTGTGCTATATTTATATTTATGCTCAATATCAGAGACAGAGCGTATGTAAATATAAACATAAAGTGAAACATAGGCGACAGGATATTTAATGCTAGACGCAATCCGCCAGGCCGCTGTATATATATATATATATATATATATATATATATATATATATATATGTATGTAAGTATTAGATCTTTCTGGAATAAGTTAACTAAAACGTGTTTTATGTAGGGATTCTTTCCTTTTCGCGATGTGTTTTATTCATTCCTGTATTTTTCTCATCAATTTCTTTTTCTCTTTTTTCTCTTTTTTTTCGATTTGTTTTTTCCTTTTTTTCCCTTAATCGTTTTTC